ATTGATTAGACGATTGTCGTCGGGATTTTGTTCGAGAATGCAAGAGTGTTTAGATCTGTGGTTCCGAACGCACTACGCATGCCATCTGCCTTATGCTGCTCGACATCAGCAGCCAAGCCACCGGGCGGCCTTGAGAAATAAGGCGCCAGGGACCAACGTTGTGTTGAACTGAGTCGCGGATCGGTCCCTTAGTCATATGCATGATCAAGTGGATGTGTGTTTGCTCTCGCTCTTGTGTCAAAAGGGTGGATTGAGGGTCACGCGAATCGCTTCTGCTTTTAATGACGTCTCGGGATATTTGTGATTGATTGTCATGTGGACTGACAAGTGCCCTTCGATTGGGCGCCAGCCTCCCGTATCTCCCATTCCAACAGGACCCTTTCCCTACAGCGAGGAAAGGACACGTGTATGTGAGTGGGACGTACGAGAAGCCGTCGCAAAAATCGGCGGGCACTATTACTTCCCTCCGGCCGATCGTTGTTCAGGGTTCGTAGACGCCGGATTTGTCATTATCGATACGCACTTTCCGCCCTACTCGATATTGTTGCCGTTTAACGAGCTGATCGTCATTTCGTGGACGGCAGTGGCGCCCCATTGGCCCTGCACTCTGCGCACTCTGTGCACGGAGTGCCAACGTTTCGATCGCTACGAAGCGAAGGGCTTCCACTACCTAATACGGAGTGAGGACGAGCATAAGGAAAGAGCCACTCGGCTGAGACCATCCACGTCGGACTCGGAACTGACCAGCGAACGACGACGAGATCAGATACAAAAACGAGACACGCGAAGCGTGCCAAAGCCTTTCCGTTCGAAACCACGGGCCGTAGCCCGGTGGGAAGCCCGACAGTACTTTTTGGATTGAATTTGGATCTCTCTGTTTTCGCGCCATGACTGCGAGCGCATTCCGCGACGCGCGAAATTAATCGATTTGCTTCATCGAACCTATACGGGGGATTTCAGTTCCATCTGTGTCCCCATACTCAATTTCCAAAAATCCTTGGCACACCCCATCTTGCTGTTTTTCTGGGTCTCTTTCTGCCTGCGTAACACCCCGAACGGAAGACAGCACAGGGCGTGAGGTTGGTATCGGAGCCGACACGTGTCGGTTCTGATGATAGTAAGTCGAACTGGCGAGAGGTAGGAGAGACCCTCAACTAACTCGTCAGGATCGCCCAGTAACCCGGTCTCAGTCGAGTGCAGCCGCACCAGCAATACCAATGGTGGACGGTACTAGGGTGATCGTTAGCATCCTTGCCCCTTTCCCCTTCTTCCCTAACCATATTCATCCCGAGGCTTGGCTGGAAGCTGTCGAAGCTCAGAACTACAGCGCAGCCGATCTCCCCCGCGTTCTGACATTGCTACTCCGCAACACGTCACATGAATGGTTTAGGAAACATACATGGGTAGATTGGGCTACATTCAAGATAACCTTTTTGGTTCGATTCGATACAGTCAGTGAAGCTGCCACCTGGTACGTGCTAAAAAATCGACCCCAAGGACGAGGGGAATTGTTGCCCGATTTCGTCGATCGGTTTCAAACCACGTTGGACAAATCCAGGCGGGATGAGAAATCCGCTCGAGATTTGTTCATCGATCACCTACGAAGTCCGACACTGAAAGGGAAATTGCAGAAAAAGGTTCCGCCGAAAACACACCAGTTATCGGCTATCATCACTAAGGCGTTGGAGCTAGACTTGGCTGATACAAAAAAATATATCAGCCAGGGAGACGAGGACATTACAGATACCATATGGGATGTAACGGCCAAAAGGCGATCATGGCTACAGGCGGTCGAACGGTTTTATCCCCGCCCTGACCGTGACCTTCCCGGTGACATCGTTTCCGATATCCCGACTGCTTCTCCTCCCTCTCCCCCGGTGAATCAATCGATCGCAGCCGTTAGAAGCGGAACTTCATCTGACCCCCCCTCGCCGGCCGTAACCAACCTACACCTTGCCCAGATGATCCACACGGCTACTACTAAGCAGTCCGAATGGATGGGCAACCTGATCCAAATGCAGGCCGCTCATATGGAACGAATGGAACAAATAATGAGCAGGCTCGTTAAGCCTAATCCAGCCCCTGCTCGGCCTTCCCCTGCATCGTTTCCACTCTTACCTGCTCCGCCTGCTCGAGGATTCGCCCCTCAGTTTCCCCATCTAGCTAATCCAGCATGAAAAATCGAGCGTTTTAACTGCAAACAGCCCGGACATTTCGCCCGGGTCTGCCCGCAGCCAAAACGAAATCAGCCTCCTCCTGCTGCGGCCCCCGTCGCTCTTAATCAAGGACGAGTGGCTACTTTGATGGATACGGATCAAGGAAGAGAACTCGTGGCACATGCCCCCGAGCAGCCTTCCCCTTCGACGACACAGGCGGCGACATCAGGAACTTCCTCCTCTAATGCTGCTGACATAGTCGATCCACTCGAATACCTTCATCTTTCAGGCATGACCGGAGCAATCCGATCGGTCCCAGATGATCTCGAGTGGGTCGATCGCGAGTCCAATCTTGGACCGCAGTTTTGGAGAGGAGACATTGATGTATTGAAAACGCTCAAGCAACTAGATATCCGAGTGCCCATCCCAGTGGGACATTTGCTCACCATATCTGAAGTGGCGAATGATAAGCTTCTACAACACTGTCAGAAAAATCAAAAGCGTTTCACCTATCAACACATACAACAAATGTTGAAGAAGAAAGAAGAAAGCAAGGAAGTTGTACCCCCTGAGCCTGACACAAAAGAACTCGAACCTGAAGCCGCACGTATAGCAGCGATCTCTTTAGCGGAAAAAGATCACTTCGTACGAGCTCGGCCGGTACTATGGAAAAGTACGGAATGTGACTGTGAAGTGTGGGGCAAGCCGTTTAATGCCCTTATCGACACGGGGTCTTCTGCAGTAGCCATATCATTGGATACTGTCAAAAAGACGGGACGACTTGGATCTATTCTTCCTCAATCTGGCAGAGAAAACTATGTCTCTGCCGACGAGGAAACAATGAACATCGTAGGCATTATCGAGAATGTGGCCGTAAAAGTTGGACGAGTACACGTCCTTGTTAACGCGCTCGTAATAGATGTACGTTCCTATTCTGTGTTGTTGGGATTACCTTGGGCGATGGCGGTAGGTGCACGTCTGCATTTCGATTCGAAGCAACTGGTGCTCACACAAACTGGGGGAAAACCTCAAACTGTTCCGTTGCGAGTTTCCACCCGGACGATGAAACGGGTCCCTACCCGGCCCAAATAGGGATGATCCGAGACATTGATCCCAATGAATGCTCTCCCTCGCGCCTCGGGGATGGAATCAGGGAACGATAATACAAAGAAGAGATTCCCAGTAAAGAGGAATGGAAGCATCTGTTTGAACTTTTCGAACATGAAACCCCCGAAGAATTTCGAGAGTGCCCCGACACCACTCGAAGTTTCCACGTGGATTCTGAAGACAGTGCATTCACGCCTCTAACAACCTAGGTCAGTCCTTCAGTCCTCCTCGGGGAACCCATATTACAAGTTTCTGATTTGGCTAATGGTTTGGAACCCCCTCGCACCTTGTACGAAGGAGCTTTTTCCTTACGAACGCGTTATCAGCAAATGGAACAGTATTTGGACGTTTTTGTTTTTCCACCCCGACCATTACTAACGACAGGAGCCACCATCGCCTTGATTAAACAAGAAGCGGATGCACCGGTAAGTGACGTGCCGAATTTAATGCAAGAAATGACGGATCTAACAAGGCTAACTGTGGAACCGACTTCGGTTGGTTCAGAGACTGACGCTGAAACTAAAGAAACGGAGATGATCAGCCCCGCGGAGTCCCAGATGATAGCAACTGTCTTTTCTGTGCGCACGAGCCGTTCCGTTTTCTCTAGTGTCCATGAGCGGCGGGAAAGGCCGGTTGATTGGATCTATATGCCCCTTAATATGTTCGGGGAATCGAGGATCCCCCTCCCAAGTCACGTTCCCGCGGAACTTCGGAAGTCGTTAATATGTGTATTGAATGGTTACGCAGAAGTGCTAAGCGTGCATGACAATGATATTGGGTTAACTAATGTAATTGAACATGCCATCCTCACAGGAGATCATCCGCCCATTAGCTGCGCTCCCTATCGATACTCGCCAGCTCAAAGAGCAGCCGCCTTTCAGCGGATTAAGGAGTTTGAAGCTAATGGATGGATCGAACCTGTTATAGGTCCATCGTCTTTCCGTGTTGTGATCGTACCTAAGAAGGCTGGAGGGATTCACATTTGCATTGATTATCGAAAGTTGAATGATATCACAATTAAAGATGTGTATCCCCTCCCCCGGATTGATGAGTTATTGGATGCGATTGGGAGTGCTCGATTTTTCAGCAAGTTTGATGTTCGTCATGGGTTCCATCATCTTCTTGTCCGAGAGGAAGATCGACCGAAAACAGCGTTTGTACTTTTCGAGGGCACGTGGCAATGAATTCGATGTCCGATGGGTATCTGCAACGCTCCTGCGACTTTTCAGCGGGCCGTGAACATGGTTTTTCATAATTTTGTACGGAAGACTCGCCTGGCGCAGAGCATCATCAACTACTGCGTGATTGTGTACATGGATGACATCTTGGTGTATTCGAGCTCCTACGAAGGACACGTGCAACACATCGAATGGGCACTGCATGCGTTACGAGATGCAGGTTTCAAGGTGGCGCTTGAGAAGTGTCAGTTTTTCCTCACCACCATTTTCTTCCTGGGGCACGTGGTGACAGACAAAAGACTCCAACCGGAGCCGCAGAAGGTGGCAGCTGTCAGGGACGCGCCAGTGCCTACCACTATCACGCAAGTTCGCGCCTTTCTGGGCCTAGCCTCATATTACCGAAGATTTATCAAGAGCTTCGCGATGATTGCGGGACCCCTCACAAATCTCCTGCGCAAGGATCAGCCGTTGATCTGGACGCCGGAGTGCGATCAAGCGTTTTCCAAACTCAAGGCTGCTCTCATTTCGGCTCCGGTCCTTATAAGACCGGATACTGAAAAACCTTTTGTTCTCATCACCGAAAGGCAGCCAGAGGCGATTTCGACGATCCTTGCCCAGGTGGGACCAAGCGGACTCGAGAGTGTGGTGGAGTATGCGTCCAAATCAGTACCCGCCTGCAAGCGCAACTACGCCGCTCCGACGGAAGAATGCTATGCGACTCTCTGGGGAATCAGTCACTTTCGTGCTTACCTGTACGGGCGAAAGTTCACCCTGGTGACTGATCATGAGCCCTTGTTGGCTCTGAAGAAGTCGAAGGATTACTCGGGCACGATTGGGCGATGGCCAACGATGCTGCAGAGCATGGACTTTGACGTCCGTCATCGGAAGCATGAGAGACACGGGAATGCGGACGGACTGACACGACTGCACCGGCCTGAGAAAGTTCCGAGGAATGAGGAGGTGATTCTGTGGAACGAACCCGAACAGGAGATTGGACCTCGGTACAACCAAGTGGAGATCTTATCGAAGCAGTAAGTGACACGAGGACTAATTATTCTGTTCTACCCTCCCTGCATCCTCTCCTCCTCTACCATCATGACTTCCCCACTCGCCTCCGCAATCCCTTCTTCTCCTACTAACTCTGCCCTTCTCACTTCCTCGGCTTTCTTCGCCACCCTTCCCGATAAATTCTGCTATTTTTGCACGTGTATTGCACGAGTTTATGGGGTTGACTGTTATCCCTTCGAGACCGGATTTGTCGATTAGGTAGAATGTGCCACGTGTGTCAACCGTGCGCACGGGGCCTGCGTTCAATATCGGACGAGTAGCAAGGAATGGAGGTGCCCCCTCTGTAGAACGAACAAGCTCCCCACGGAGGTTCGATTCGAGGCCGCCCGTACGGACGGTCCTGAATACGACAAAAAATACCGATGGGCGGAAGTCAGGACAGATAAAATTTTATTGGCAAAATTAGCGGGATTATCATTGGGCCACCTCACCAAACAGGACAGACGTAGGGCTACCGAGAGATCTCGGGACTATCGATGAATCAACGGTCATTTGGAAAAGCGTAAAATTGACGGATCGGGTTCATGGCTGACAGTTCCCCATCCCTTCCAGAGATATGATTGGATCCGATCTGCTCACGAGGAACAGGCCGCTCATTTCGCGATACGTGTCACGGAGGCAACTGTAGACCATAACCGATGGTTCTGGTCCAATATACGAGATGGTGTCAAATACATTGTCGCTAACTGTCTGGTCCGTGCCGCTGATCGCGCCCCTATACGGGGGCCAAACACGATCGTGCCAATGGAAGTAGAGCGTCCTTTCCAGCGAGTCAGTATGGACACGACAGATATTGACGTACCACCTGGCCCAAACCGCTGTGAATATTCCATCCTGTTAGTTTTAATTGACCATTTTTCCAAATACATCGAAGTCTATCCTTGTAAGACCTGAAAGGCCGCCGAAATAGCCACATACATCGAACGATTCCTCTATACCCATCTAGATACGAAAGAAATTCTAACTGGCAATGGGTCCGAATTCAAAGGTGAGGTAGAGGAACTGCTTGCACGAAGGCGCGTCACGCTCCGACATACGGCACCCCACGTATCCCAGTCGAACGGGTTGGCCAAGAATGCCAACCGTATGATTAAAACCGCCCTTCGCAGGAACTTAGCGGCACACGACACACGTCCTTGGCCCGAGATCGTATATTAGATCGTTGGGATCCACCGGGCCACCCCTCATGAGTCTACGAGGTTTACCCCCTTTCAGCTTCGAACTAACAGCCTCCCCTGTGTCGATTACCGGGGTAACTCGGAAATTGCCGAAGCAGGGGGTAGAGACACGTGTGCGGCCCTCAAGGCCAAGGCCAAAAGGTACATCGATTTGATGGAATGGGCCGTTCCGAAGCTAGCCCGAAAAAGACAAAGGATGACCGAGCTGGCCCACGGTAGACAGGTCCGTAGCTACGAGGCCCGGAACGAAAATGCTGGGGCCCAATACCAGTATAAAATGGGGGACCTAGTGCAGGTGCGTAAATGTGCACACACCGGAAACTCGCTCCCAAGTTCTCTGGCTGTTTTCGCGTTGTCGAACTCGGGCCCAACGGCGTTAACACGGTGCGCATCGCGCCTGAGGCTAGCACCAGCCATAGCTCCGTCCCATCGTCAGACATACCTCCTACCTCCGTCTCCTTCCTCCTTCCGATTTTCCTCCCTCTTCTTCCTCGGAAAGCGAGAAAAACGACGACGATCTAACCCTCTCTCCTCTTTCTCCCTCGTGTCCCTCGTCCTCCTCTCCGACCTCGCAATGAGTTTCATCACGGAGCAGGTTCTCGACGCACAACTGCGGCAGCCACGTGGCCACATCTTAGAGGTCCGGCAAATTTGTCACCCTCGGCTCAATACAGATCTCCGCCGTTTGATGCGATTCTTCTGCGACGAAGGTATCTGTGCCACCGCCGATTTCGGATAGAAGGAAGCCCTCATGCGATAGTGTTCGCGGAGGTTACTGCAGTTCATCGGCGAGCGGGTCCCAGAACGAGCCACGTCACCACAGTGGCGGGATTCACCGGCGACATCAGCTCGGTCAATCCGCTGCGGCATACCGCGATCTTGGCCTCGCTGCGCGAGTGGACGGAGCAAGTGTCCAACGTGTGGCAGCACGTCCTCGCCTGGGAGGGCTATAACATCATCCCGATCTTTGCATCGGACCTTGACGTTATTCGCTGATCACCGTGCGAGCGGCCAGTAGCGATCCCGACCATCGTCCCCTTCCCCCATCCCCAATGAACCACGCTGCTCTTCTCGCTCCTCTCTCCATCTTTGGTCTCCCCTCTCTCTTCCCCACCTTCTGGCAATCCGATCTTCACCCTTCTCTTTCCTTCTCGTTCGAGCCTCTTTTAGTCCCTCTTATCATTCCTGGACATTGGCGATTGTGGCGCGAAACTTTTGAGGAGCTGTCCTTTTGCTTGGCCAGAGTACAGGTGACGTGGACGGGCACTAGCGAGCATTCCACGTGGATTGAGAATCCGGAGCTGTTGATCATACAGGGTTGGAGGACTAACGCGGAAGGTGACCTTATTGGATTCCTCTTTGGATCGGTACGAGCGGGTCGCTGTCAGTTGATTACACAGGATCTCATCGCACCGATCGTGCAATTGGCGGACGATCTCTCGCCCGACATCTACTTTCACAGTGACAACAGTCCTGCTCCGTACATTTTCGAGCGATCCTTGGATCCGTACCTTCAGTGGACTTCGTGCTTGGAGGAACCTAGGGACGAGGATGCGCTACCATCGCGGCAAGAGTATCTGAAGCCATACGAGATCATCCCTTACGCCTTCTACCCGAGGGCAGAAGAAGTGGTGATCGACGACAACGACGACGAAGAAGAAGACGACGACGAGGAAACATCGGAGGATGGAAGCCATAGTGAACATAGCGAGGGCGAGCTGAGTGAGGAGGAAGAGGAAGAAGAAGGAACCGGGTCCGTGTGGAAAGTCCCGCCGGAGGAAGCCACGCGCACGGGAACGGAAGCGGAAAATCCGGAAGTGGCGCAGAAGCGCGAAGAAATTGTCGTCGGGAAGCGCCAGCTGCCCTTCGCTAGCGAGGCTAGCCTGCGCATCGGTAGCGATCCAACCAGGGATCCGGAGCCGCCGAGGCCCGAAGATGGCGACACTGCAGCTGCCACCTCAAGTACCGCGCGACGAAGACGGCGCCGATCCCCCTCCTCCTCCAGCCCCGCCCGTCCCCCAGTTCGCCCACGTACCAATGTGGGCGATAGGCCTTCGACCTCGGACGCTGCCCCGCTGACCCCTTGATTTTCTCACCCTCGAGCAGATCCGTACCCCCGTCACCTTCCCTTCCCATCCTTGCCATCCCCATCTCTTCCGCGACTTCTTTTCTACCTGTCTACTCGCCACCGTCCACCCCCACGCCTCCCTTCAATCCGCTGCCCCCACGTTCTGCTGGCACCTCCTGCTGTTCAGCGCTTCATGGGAGCGATCCAATGTCGTAGAAGTCTACTGCGTTGCCACGGGGACAATCCCCGCCTGTCGCCACTTCGAGATCTTTCGAGCGGCGCTTTTCCACACCCTCTCCTCTTTCTATCGCGATTACCTCGCTTCCCTCCCCCGCAGTGGCGATCATTTCCCCCGCTTCCACCGGATCATCCGATATGAGGAACTCCCGATGACAATGGAAGGGATGAATCGCTTCCTACCCCCATTCCCCCCCCGTCATCCCCGTGAGATCCCCGGCATGTACCGCCTCTACTGGCCAATTCCAACTAGGTGGTAGATCCCATTCCCTTCCATACCCCCCCCCCCCCCCCCTTTTTTTCTCTCCTCCCTTCATCGGCACGAATCGGTAAGCTTCGCGAAGATCACGCCATCAACGATGACGTCAACCTGCGCGTTGATTCGACAGACGGCAACGAGCAAGGGTGCAAAGCACATGGAGATCAGGTGGACCATGATGGCGTCACCTAGACGATCTCCACGAGGCAGAGGGTTGCATATGACAGGGCTACAGAGATCTTGCCACGGATGTTGTCGTCATCTCATCCGCGGCCCAGTTATCGTTCCTTGTACTTCTTTCTGCTCTGTTGATACGCTTGGTTCCTCATGCATCACTCTGTTTTCCCCTCTTCTTTTTCGCCATGACATCAACAGAAAATTTTTCCACAATTAAATAATCATTATATAGTAAAATTACAATCTAAATTTTAAATTTTCATTCCATCTTAAAAAATGTCATTCCACTTTTAAAATTTTTCATCTTACTTGCAAACTTTCATTCCAAGAATAGGGTATCCCTTCTTATTTGGACTGCATGCTAGAGATGAAATGAAAAACTGGATGAGTTTATGAAATATTTTAATTGGACTGTCATTCTAAGTAAGGATTTTCAGTCATAAATAGGTTAATCCAATCTAAATTAGAAGATATTTGTTGGAATAGTATGAAAATTTAATTAAAACATTTCATAAACTCATCCAGACTTTCATTCGATCTTGAACAAATAGATGTAGTTGGAAGAGAAAGCTCATATTTAGACGGGAACTTGTCAAATAAAACTGAAAATTTTAAGAATTGGACGAACATTGAAATGATAATTTTTAAATATGAAGGATTTTTTTTTATGGAATGTTTTTTCAACTTTCATTTCTCGTGGGAATTTTTCTGTTGATGCAATCAGGAGATCGCATAATTTTGGAACCCCCTGCGCGTCACATATGTGACGAACCACTTCCCGACCCCGTGCCATCTTTCGTACCCTTTCTTTTACTTGTATCATACCAACCCCAGGAAAAGCCCATTTTGAGTTTTTGCTTTCGGGACCCGCATTTTGCTTTTTCAAAACTTTTTCGACTGCTGAGTTCTGTTTTTCTTCTTGCAAAGTCGGAAAATACATGGGAATTTACGTGCGTCTTAGCAAGCGCACTGGGAATTGGGCTCGGTAGTTGGGAATTTTGGGATAAGCGAAACTTCGACGTGTCCTTTTTGGGTGTGTGAATATTTTTGGGCGCGATGGGGAAAACTCTCGGGATTTTGCGTGAATACGAATAGGCGTAGGATTTTCTTTTCTCGTGTCGCTTTTTCGCGCGCGGATATGGTGATTTCAATTTTGAATTATGATAGAAGCAAGCTGTTAATGTTTCGGTGCCTTTTTCCTTTTTTTGTTGACGGCGCCGTGCATGCAAAAACTTCCTCCTCTCTGTCCCCCACATCACTCCCTCCTGCGCCTCCCTTCCCTTCTCCCTCCTTTTTCTCTCTCCCCGTAACTGTTTTTCCTTCTCCCTCTCTCTCTCTCCCACCTTGCTTTCGCGCGCTCATTTCCCTTTCTTGATCATCTGAATCTTGGACCCGTCTTGCGCCACCTCTCGCGCCTTTTCTCTTCTCACCCTCTAAGTCTGGCGTACGACGCCCGGTCGATCCCCCGATAACTCCCGCTCGCCAATCAGGTGCGTGGATCGATAGGACCTTCCTATCATGCGATGAATCTGATTGGTTGATCCTTGAGTTCCGAGGGATCAGCATGGCGTTCGTAGAGCACTCTCCTCAAAGTCTTCTCCTCCTGCTTCTCCTCTTACACCTCATCTTTCCCGTCGCTCTCTCCCCCTTCTATCTCC